TGACATGAAAGCAACAAAGCACCAACACTGGGGGTTATTTTCCTGGAGCCTGCCAAATCACATGAGAAACCTGCATCAAACCTGTACAAACAGACAGGCAGAAGTTCAGAAATACCAGAGCTAMGATTATCTCTGCAATACTTAATTTGCCCTCTTCTTCCACCTGAGGCCTTATCAAACATGCTCTCCAAATCCCAACAAAAATTAGATTCCCTGCTCAGTGTCCCCATGCCTATTGCCCTTGGTGTTTCAGTGTTTCACAAAAATTTGTGATTTACTTTCACAGACTCTGAGAAGATAATTGCTATCACTGCTCTAATTTTAAGAACAGACATTTTATACAAAATTACAGGGTGTAACTGTCAAACCTGCACACATCGAGGAACCCAGATGGAAAGCAAGAACCCAGGAGTGGGGAAGAGCCCGGGCCTTTACTGGCACTTCAGGGAACGCTGTGGAAGTCCAGACCTAACTTTCCAGTGTGGCCCATACAGGCCATGGCTGTCCTGGTAGATAAAGGCCCGGGACCAAGTCCTGGACCCCAGGCAACCGCCTTGTGACCACACAGCACAAGGCCAGTCCCCCAGGAGCAAACACAACTTGGGAGAAGTTACTCATAGGGGTGACGCCAGCACTGGGAGGCATTTTTCTGCATAGGGCTCTGGTGTCAATATATTGAAAAGGCTGCGAAAAGATTGTCTGAAAGCAGGAAAAAGGGTCTGTAAAGGGAGAGATACCAAGATGTTGATTCATTTGGTGTTTCAAAACGGGGGCAGGGTGATGACTTGACTAACAAGCCTTCATGAGGACCAGACACCAGATTCTGAAGGGATCTCTGTCCTAGAAAGGAAAGGAGTTAGCAGCAAAGATAACCAGAAAAGATGGCAGATTCAAATTGAGATAAGGAACATACTTGGAGCGGTTGCAAAAGAATTATCAGGGGAAYTAGTGAATTTTACGCCTCTTGATGTATTGGGATCACAAAGACGTGCCCTCCTTAAAGATAATGTTTTAGAAAAGGCCATGTTACTGTTACAAACAGGAAAGTTTTTAAGAAAGGGGCAGGAGGCKTTGGACTACATTTAATTTCTAGGCTTTTCTGACCTTAAAGGCTGTTCTTTAAACTCTGTGTTCTTTAATCTCAAACAGGAATGGCTTCAGCTACACACAGACACCAGAGCAAGAGAGAGATGCCTGAAAACTGATGTTGGCTCGAGGTTTTGGAGAGCGACTGGGGTCTTCYTGAGCGCTGGCAACAGAGAAATGAAAGAACAAAAAGGAAGAAAGAACGAGAAAAAAAAGCTTCTGCCGAAACCCGGGATCGAACCAGGGACCTTTAGATCTTCAGTCTAACGCTCTCCCAACTGAGCTATTTCGGCTCGTGCTCAGCCTTAGGGGCAGTCTCGATACACAGGCGTTTCCGCCGTTAATTCGGTGATTGTGCCAAAATGGGGCCGTTTCTCCCGGTGCCCCCGATCAGCCCCGCGATGAACAACGTGCGGAGCGCGCGCGGGCCCAGCGTGGGCGCCCCCTCCCGCCGGGCACACCTAGTTCGGGCACTAACACCACGTAAAACCTAAATAAACGAGCAATATAAGCTCGAAAGTACCTGTTAGTTCTCCGCTAATAACCCACTTCAAGGAATTGTGCAAACAAATGGAGTTCAGGTCTTTTTAGTTGAAATCCATACTTTGTAGATCTGGAAATGAGACATATTTTGAGATGCAGAGACAGGGCAATTGGGTCAGCAATCCCTAGTTCCTTCCCTAGTGACTGAAAACAAAATTTTCAATTAAAAAAAGCTTTGGTTTAACCACCACGAGAGCAGAGGTGCAGCAACAACAACACGCGAGTACAAAAATGTCATATTCTCATGACTTTCCACTGCCCCTGGCAATGACTGTTCTGCTGGAAATGATGAATGTGATCAYTTAATGAGCGCGTCTCGTACCGAGACAGCTACATAATCTGGTGATCTTTGGCACGGGCAAACTCCAAAAGTGTGATTACATGCATGGAAGTTGAGACTTCCTGACATGAGCGTTTCCGTACGGGTTACCACAAAAACCAACGCTATTACACATGAACAGGTTCCTGATTGTTCCTGATTTTTATTACACTCAGAAATGTTTGTTTTTGCCAGGAGAGGCAACAGAAATAAAAATTAATGATGATAAGGAAAAAAGATTCAGAGTTAGATAGCGTATGTTTAAAAAATGCCCCCTCAGCAAAACTTCATCTTTTGTACAAGAATTTCAGCAACTGAGCAGTGGAAATATGTTAGCACTTTGTGGCTATTTAGGGAGAGCATCAGGAGAAAGCCGTAGCAAAATGGCACTCTCAGTAAAACTGAAGCTAGTTTTGGTTCTGTTTTAATGGGGACCTGAGTTTGTGGTGCTTTGCACCTCTCAGAATAGAATCACTGGTACAAAGCGGGGCTTTTCAGCCACCATCTCCCCACCCCATCCTAGTGAGGGGCAGGGTGAGACAAGAAAAGCTGTTGGCTTCCCCGTCCCGCTGCGACACCGCAACTTGGTCTCAACCACAACCGTGATCCCATCAAACCAAGGGGCACTTGACTAAAAGAGTAAAAACACCCAGGGCACAAGGTCAAATTAAGCACCCTGGGCTTGAGGTTAAAGTGAAGCTGGAGAGCGCAAGTGCCAGCCCGTGTGCGCAGTCCCGACCCAGCTCCCACAGCAAGGCCCCAGAGGCCTCATGGCTCACAGGGAAGGGCCACACCAGCAGTTGCCATCTTGGCTTTCTGTTTCACCCTCTTCTTCCAAACTCCCTCTTTTTGAGCTCCTTCAACAAGGGATCTGCTGGATTGCAGCTTAGTGTACAAAGATAACGCAGCATTTTCCTCACAATGTGTTAGGTTCACAAGCGTAGATCTCGGGTGATTCCTGAAAAGCTGATCTATTCCCCCACAGTGATCCCCCAAAAGAGTTGGGCCTAGGAATGACAAGGGCTGCCCCCAGCTAATCTCCCAAGTGGGAGCTTCTCACCTGTCAAAGCACTTGGAATGAAACCCTCAGTTTCTGAAGTTGCTCAGAACCTGCCCTTCCAGGCAAAACTCAGCCTTAYCCTTGAAGAAGCCTTCACCAATTTYGGTGACATGCGTGTTCATCCACTGCATTAATTTTCTTAATGGTGTAACTTCAGTTTGTCCTGTGACCCTAACCTGGACAACGGTGAGCCAAAGATGGCCCTGTCTGCTGCATTTTGCATGGCTGTCTTTTTGTTCCACACACGAGCCGCTTCTTACCCTTCCCACGTAAAAACAGTAGAAAAAAAGCAAAAAAAAAAAATACACTTCTTCACATTAGCAATTCATCAGTTCACCCTCTGCCTCTTTCTCCAGCAGAGGCCAGAAGGCTAATAGCAAAACAAGCTGTTATTATTTAACAGCAGATCGACTTCTCCCTGAAAAAAAGCAGTTCTCCCCAGAGCATTCAACTGCTAAGGCAACCTGGCCTGCAGTAGCCAAGTGGCACAAAGCAAAAATCTTCTGCATAAAAGAAACATGGGGTGGGGGAATCGGAGAAAGAAAAAAGCAAAACCACAAAGCCAATATCTCAAAAACTTGCCAGGATTAAATCATCAAGTAGACCAGGAAAACAACTTCCATTAAAAATCAAAAAGACTTTCAAAAATCCACTTTAAAAATAGTTTGTTTAGACAATTACAGAGCTGTCAGTATCTTCATCTAAAAAGTCAGAATWCTTACAGAGATCTGTTCAAAAAACCCATCAGGCTGCATCTTGCCTCTAATAGGGTAACGCTTCATCACAAGCTAATTTTTTTTCAAAAGCCTCTTGCATTCTGAAGCAAAAAGATGGACTCAGTCTCTTTGCATGAATAGATGTGAATAAGAGCTACCTTTACCAAATTTCATAAGAACTCCCCCCCACAAGTGTATTACAGTTCTGGTGGAGAACAGTGTTATTACCACCACCCTACACTGCCACAGAAACATTATCTTCAATCCTTATGTTCCTCAACATGGAATGTGCCTTTGTTGCAGAGCTTATTATTGAAGCTTCTTCTTTTAAGGTGAACTTTACCCTYAAAGAGGGGGCCTATTATGAGCAGAGCCTCAGGGGTATTCTGGTCCAAAGGCAGRAGTAGCTGTGAGCTAAATAGTTGGCTTTAGCTTGTAGCGTTCAGTTGYTTGTGTAGTGGTAGAAAGGACAAACTTACAGCCTTCTACCTACATTGAAGTTACAGAGGAAAACACTGCAAATAGCTGCATTTTTAGAGTGAGCTGTAATTTTCCCGACATATTGCTGCAAGTTCTCCCCTATCAACATAACTATCAAGAAACAAGCTTGGGAGCCAGCTAAGTTTCTTCAGAACAGGACAGGAATTCACCAATCTAAAAGCACCGCTGCCTAGGTTTTCAGCTCCTGTGTATGTGCATAGCTTAAGTTATTGACAAAAGCCAGGAAACAAACATAATTTTTATTAATAAACAACTTTGAAAAAGATACTAATTTACACATTTACAGAACTGAAGTTTCCTCACATTTTTAAAGGGAAACTAAAATATTGTTTCATAATTAAAAAAATACTTGAAGACTTGTGGCACAATGTAAGATRTGCCAACCCACAATCCACTGGAGAGTAAAAAAAAATAAAACCAAAAAACAGTTTAGGCTTTTTTCTGTAAATGATGATCATATCAAAAAAAGAGGCATCAATGGAATGTTAACTGTGGTGCAGGATTTCAAGTTTGTCACAGTTACAGAGATAGTAATGGGTTCATAGTTGGACTTGATGATCTTGAAGGTCTTTCCCAACTATTACAATTCCTTAATTCTAGGGAAAAGGAATTTAAAATTAAATAAACTCTGTAATACTGTAAAGAGATTATTCAAGTCAGACACACACACAAAAAAAAGGGTTCCATAAAATTCAATAACAGCTACTGCCTTTTTTTTTCTCTTCTTCCCAGAGGAAGGGGAGGGAAGTGAAGGGAAAACAGGAAAGGAAGAAAAGGAGAGGCAAAGGGAAAAAGGAAGAGACATTTAGATTATGTATAGTCTTTACCAGACATCTACAAAAAGTAATAATGCACCAACAAAGAACTGTGAAACATCTGGGATTAATATGTAGCTTTTATCAACTGCATTATACTCTTGAGCTTCTTTGGCCCTTAATTAAAAATAGAACACATGACTACGGCAAAACAAATATATTACACTGCAAAAACTAGACTAATATAGATAAAAGATTTCAGAATAAAAAACRTAATTGGAAGTCATACTAGTCAAAATCATAATATTCTAAATCAATAAGGCAGTTTGACATTAGCTATAAGTTTGCAGTGTTATAAAAATTCTTCATCATGTACAATTCTTTAAAACAAATCAATACAAAATGGGGATCTAGTATTGCACCAAGAGCCAAAATTAACCAATAAAGTGCTAAAAGCCCTTCCCAAGCCATGCGGTACTGTAGCTCTCCGCTCRTAACAGTTCACATATCTTTAATATGATAAAAAGTTTAGCGTGGTCACTTGATTACAGATTTCAAAAAGAAAAAGATGCTGTGAGGTAGAATAATTCCTCTGCTTCTCCTCCACCTTATGGAATATTCAGCTGTGCAAACGGCTCCATCACAGGAAAGGGCTCCAGTGCTTTCTCCGCGTTCTTCCAGTTGTGAAAGTTCTCTTTGTACCATTCAACTGGGGGAAAGAGAGTGCTGGTGAATCAAACTGAACAGGCAAAACAGAAGGAAAATTCAAAGATTCCCTTGCAAAGTGTTGCAGGGGTAACAAGAGAAGAATAACTCTTTGTACAAAATGCTAATCTGTAAGATCCCAAACACCTAACATCTTTAGAGTCTTGGTCGAATACTTATTTTAGCATTAAGGAGAGATGCCCAATACTATTGCACTGTGATTATTTTCTTAAACAGATAGGTAAATTGACTACTTAAAAATAAGCCCAAGTTCATTCTCCTTAGCATCTCATCAAGTTATATACCCATTTTCCCTTCTCCCTTTTGATCCTCGCATCATATCCAAATAAAAGGTCAGTGTACTTGTTTTCTTTATTCCTTCTTTCCAAGGCACTTTAGGTCTCCATCCCAAGTTGTGCATTTTTTCTGAATTCATTGGGTATCTCAGGTCATTTGTAGGTCTGAAAGTATGAAACAAACAAGGAAAACAATTTAGACTACTTTATTAATTAGAAACACAGCACTTCACATTGTCTTTGATCATATTACATGTGCTGCAATTTTGAGGATTCCCATAACACAAATTATATTAATTTCACAAAATGCATTACTGCAGCTGCACACAATTGCCACAGTTCGGTTTGAGCAGTCAACTACCTGGAAGTGACAAGAATAAATATGAATTAATGTCTTCTTAGCAAACGAAATGCAAAACCCAATCTTTGCCAATGAAATTGTGCTAATCAGCACATGTGCAGCTCCCCAGGCCCTTGTTACACAAGCCAGCGTTTCCTGATACCAGTGGTGCCATTTTTCATCCTGGAAGCCCACAGATATTCAAATTCTTCATTAGTACATATAGGCTTCCAAGGCATTGTCATTCAGTGCTTCATTAGCTGGATAAAAACTGTAACACCAAATATATCAAATCCCAAACTGCAAAATTAAGCACTGAAAAATATTCCCTATATTTTATTTAGGTATTACACATGCCTTCTACTGCTACAGTCTGATAGTTGGGAAGTCTAGTCTAGCACTCCCATGGTACTGGGACTAAAATACGGCAAAGTTAAATGGTCTGCTTCTCTCTGCACATATATCTGAGGTATCCCAGGGTGTTGCGRGAACTGGCAGATGTCCTAGCCAAGCCGCTCGCCATCATCTTCAGAAGGTCCTGGAGAAAGGGGGAGGTGCCGGAAGACTGGAAGAAAGCCAACGTCACTCCAGTCTTCAAAAAAGGCAAGAAGGAGGACCCAAGTAACTACAGGCCGGTGAGCCTCACCTCCATCCCCGGGAAAGTGATGGAGCAGCTCATCCTGGCTGCTGTCTCCAGACACATGGAGGAGAAGAAGGTGCTCAGGAGCAGCCAGCATGGATTCACCAAGGGGAAATCCTGCTTGACTAGCCTGATCACCTTCTACGAAGGAATATCTAGCTGGATAGATGAGGGCAGAGCGGTGGATGTCATCTATCTGGATTTGAGCAAGGCTTTTGACACTGTCCCTCACAGCATCCTCCTGGGCAAGCTCCAAAGGTGTGGGATAGATGAGTGGATGGGGAGGTGGATTAGGAATTGGCTCAATGGCAGGGTGCAGAGAGTGGTTGTCAGTGGCGCGGAGTCTAGTTGGAGGCCTGTAGTTAGCGATGTCCCCCAGGGGTCAGTTCTCGGTCCGGTCCTGTTCAACTTATTCATTAACGACCTGGATGAAGGGCTGGAGTGCTCCCTCAGCAAGTTTGCTGATGATACCAAACTGGGAGGAGTAGCTAATAGCCCTGAGGGCTGYGCTGSCATCCAGASGGACCTGGACAGACTGGACGACTGGGCGGTGAGAAACCTCATGAAGTTCAACAAGGGCAAGTGCAGGGTCCTGCACTTGGGGAGGAATAACCCCGGGCACCAGTACAGATTAGGGGTGGACCTGCTGGAGAGCAGCCCCACAGAGAGGGACCTCGGCGTCATATGGTGAATGACAAGATGACCATGAGGCAGCAGTGTGCCCTGGTGGCCAAGAAGGCCAAYGGGATCCTSGGGTGCATTAAGAAGAGCGTCTCCAGCAGGTCGAGGGAGGTGATCGTCCCCCTCTACTCAGTCCTGGTGAGGCCACATCTGGAGTACTGTGTCCAGTTCTGGGCTCCCCAGTACAAGAGGGATGTGGAGCTGCTGGAGAGAGTCCAGCGCAGGGCTACGAGGATGATCAGGGGCCTGGAACATCTGCCCTATGAGCAAAGGCTGAGGGAGCTGGGCCTGTTCAGCCTGGAGAAGAGGAGGCTGAGGGGGGACCTGCTCAGTGTGTATAAATACCTCAAGGGAGGCAGTGAGGAGGAGGGGGCGGCCTCTTTTCAGCGGTGGCCAGCGATAGGACTAGAGGAAATGGCTTCAAACTGAAGCATTGGAAGTTCCACAGGAACTTAAGGAAGCATTTCTTCACTGTGATGGTGACAGAGGCCTGGAACAGGCTGCCCAGGGAGGTTGTGGAGTCTCCTTCTTTGGAGATGTTTAAAACCCGCTTGGATGCAGCCCTGTGCCACGTGCTCTAGGTGACCCTGCATGAGCAGGGGGGTTGGACTAGATGACCTCTGAGGTCCCTTCCAACCTTGGGCATTCTATGATTTAAACATGTCAAACTCAGCAACCAAAACAAGACTATTTTTCCCATGGAAAGTAACCTACATGCCTCCTAAGTATCTTATTATTAACTCTTTAACTGGTAAGAAGAAATCAAAATCCTCTATAAAGCCTCAAAATTATTTTCAAAAGACACATCCCACATGGTTAGTCTTCCCAAGAGCATTTACGTTTACCTGTAGGATTATAGGCAGCATTCATATTCTTATCTAGACCCGCATGCTTTATTGGGGAGATTGTTTTCTTAAGAAAAATGTTCTTCCACCCAGTAAATTACAGGCAAAAGATAGGGCTAATACACATCACATACGAGCCAAATGGTCACAAAACCTGCACAAAATTCCCCATGATATATTCAAAGCAGTTTGTGGAAAATGTCTTCCCTGCTCTCAAAAGGAGAAAAAAACATTTGAAGTCACTGTCAAGATAGCAACCTAAGCTATAATCCAGCTGTGAACAGAGGGTAAACAATTAATGCAGCACTTTAGTCAGCAAGTATCCAAAAAAGCTGGTTGAAAACATTAATTCCTGATGAAACCAACAGAGCCACAGTGCTAAAGCCCCCTGTAACACTCACCTGCTATGAGCAGGTATCTTTATTTGATCACTCTGGAGCAATAGAATCAAAGCAAGCAGGGACTCATTGGCGCTGCAGAGAAGAAATGCAAGGAGGGGAACAGAGCCAAACCAAACCTCAGGCTAAGGACAAACAGAAGCACACAGCAAAAGCAGACTTATGAAAACCATCTCATTTTGCTGCTGCCTTAGCTTTGCCACCTCAAAGTCTACATTTGGAAGAGTAATTTCAAGAGCAAGATAGGAATCTAAAATTAACTACCCTATGTAAGCGGGTAGGTGAGGTGAGGCTTATTTCTCTTTGGCCTTAGCGAAGATATCCAAAACTGAGCAAGCCCTGTTAATTTCAAACTTCCAAAGCTTGAGGAGAACCAAAAATGCCATTAATACAACCTTTAGCTGCTATGCAAAACCTATCCCTTTCCTAATGCAGACTTCATTACTGAGAAGATTGAAAAACAGCCAGCCTTTCGAGATGAACAGCACATAGTGCACTTAACTGCAAAATTCTGTCCTAAAGCTTAAAAAAAGTTCACTTTTCTATAGTATCATCTACTGTTAATAGATGTAAAATCCATTTAAAAATAAGTTACTAAAGCAAAATAACCTTAAGGTCTCCTTTTCTGCAGGGCAGAAACTCTTTCACAGAAAAATTATACCAAACAGGAGACCCAGACACTTTCAGAATAAAACTATCCTGCTCAGGCTACACAATTTTCTTACCTGTCTTTGACATAGTCCATCCAACGCTCCATTTCAGATTCTGAACTGGTCTTCTTTATCTGGGAAGGAGAACCCACATCTCTTACACTGACTTTTTACATACGTTTAAAATTTAATTTGTTATCAATAGTTAACTATGTCAAGGGAAATTTTCTTCTGTACAAACTGAACTGTCAGACTGGTGAAGTTACCAAACTATTTCAAATGTTTCCAGTAATGTTTCTGCCACATGCAAGCTCTTAAACATTCGTAACTTAAACAGTGCTACATTCTCAAATAAAAACTGTAGCAAATAGCATGGGGAGTCAAACAGCATTCACTCGTTATGCCCCTTGCACTCAGTTCAGGATTGCTGTAAGTTTGCATTTCAGTGTTACCAAAGGTTTACAGCGCAACTCTTCAAGAATCCAAAGAGTCCTAAGAAAAAGCATCAAACTGTTTACTCACTAAATGGATTAGCTCCTTAGCAAGCTGGGCAATGGACATCTCAAAATTAGTTCCAATGTTATAAATTTCACCTGGCTTCCCCTCCTTCAGAACAGTAAGGAATGCTTCTACTACATCGGTTGCATAAAGGAAATTCCTTCTCTGAAGTCCAGAACCATGAATACAGCTTAAGAAAAAAACAATAATCTTGTTAATCTTTTAACAGCAAAACTGCTTAAATGCAGACTATTAAATAGAAGCATTCAATTTAAAGTTATATGAAGATAAATTAAATAGCTTGCTTGCAAACTCCTTAAGGAAAAAATGTCGGTTGTTAAACAAGTCCACTATTATAGCATAGTTAAGAAATAATTGGTTTTCCGAGCCATAGCTCCTAATTATGATTATAACCACCGTTTCAAAATGGCAAGACACAGCAGGCATGCACATACACACATAAAGCAGCAAGTTACATACCATTTTCTGTTCTGTTGCAACAAAGAGATAAACTTTGGAATAACCTAAACATTTAAACAAGAAAATTGTTAAACTACTTATTTTAGAACCTGCTATTCTACAGAGAATGAGATGCTTCACCAGTAAGTCACATTAAGCAAAGCATTTCAATAATCTTCAGTATTTTGAGGTTTAARTGAATCAAAGAATGCATCAAGCCAAGAAATTACAAGTATTCATTTTTTTCCTGTTGTAAGCAGAGTATTTGAGTATTTTGTACAATATAGTTGCTTTTTTTCCTAAGCCTAACATAGGAAATAAAGTCAGCACAATAACTCTACACAATACACACAGGCTTTAATATTAAGAAATTTGGCGGAAGAGCTAGCTTATTTGAAGAGTACAAACATGGATAAATGCATTCTTATGAAGGAAAAAGAAGAAAAAAGGAATAATTATCACTCTAAAACCTCAATTTATACTGCACTGAAGCATAGAGCAAAACATACAGTTAACTTACTTTTTCTGGATATTGGTGTGGTCCATAAACATTACTGCTCCGTGTGATAACAACTGGAAACTGAGGAGTATTAAACATGCATATGATTACGTAAGAAGTCAAATATTTACAAGTAAAAATTTTTGCAGAGTTATGACAAGCAAAACAGCTACTCCTAATCAAAAATCTGAAATGTTACGTACATTAATATACTGCACTATATAAACTTCTGTCAAATACATATGGGTCTCTCAGCTTGTCAGGCAACATATGGGACAAGTGTTCCCTGGTCTTACTAGGGATCAACCACAGAACACTACACAAATGTTTACCTGTCTGTATATGGTTGCGTAAAGACTTGCTTTCTGTTATCTATTATCTACTCTAAGTTTTATCCCAGGTAAAGACTTCAGAGTTACTAACGTCATATTCAAGTTAACTTTGTGTGAAGAGTAACTTCGTAAAAGGACACTTAAAAAACAAATTAAAAAAATCCTGAAGCATTCAAAGTGAAATACTTCTCCTCAAACAAATCTGAATAATAATTTTTTAGTTTCACTATAATCCATATATTTTATATTTTAATTCTTTATACAGAAGGACATATTTTACTTCTTTACGACTGTACATACTTTATTTCTGTATACAGATTTCCGTCAAGCTTTTTAATTGTTAATATTCTTTTAACCATTTTATTTAAGAGAATATTTTAGGTATTACAGGGTTTTTATATATATTTATATATATAGTGAGATATATGAGATATATCAGCATTTTAGGTATTACAGGGTGCTTGCCCCTTTCCCATCTCTTTGCTACCTCCACAAATAAGAGTGATGGACACCCTCTGATGCCATRAGCACTGTGTTATCCACTGCTAATTTTTCTTCTGTGAGCTAGTGAATACAGTATARATGCTGTTAAGTTCAAGCTGCAGCGTTTTTGAAGCTTGCATTAACTTACTTGGTACCTTTCCCAGTAGGACTGCACAAAACATTCTGCAGCTGCTTTTGAGGAGGCATAGGGATTTGTCGGGCGCTTTGGTGAAGATTCATCAAATTCCTGCAATCAAAAGACAACCTTGCCCGGGTAAGTCTTAGGAAGTTATAAAGCCTCACTTAAAACTACAGTTGCTACTGAAATGGACATCCAAGAACAACAGTTTGAATAAGTTAATCTCAACTAAAGCAGAGGATTAACACAAGATAGTCTGGTTTTCAAGCACTGGAAGTGGTCAGAATATCAGTGGTGTATTTTTACACATCTCTCACAGAAAGCCTCAAAGTAGCAGGTTCTCAACAGGCTTCTTCAAAATCATATTGCCACTGAGCACCACAGCTAAACACTGAGCTTTCAGATTTAAATAAAATGGATTCTTACTTCCGTTTCTCTAAACTCCATTTTTCTAGAGAAAAACAAAAAGGAACTCCATTTACAGAGGAAAATTACTCATTTTATGTACGATTTTTCAATACTGCATCCAGTAAAGCTAGAAAAATCTTGATGCACTTTCAAACTCACCTCATCAACGCTACCTCCATACACTTCATCTGTACTGGCATAAACAAACTTCTCCACATTAGCTTCATATGCAGCAGCAACCAACACATTAGTGCCATAAACATTCACGTAGGTGAACTCTAGGGCATGCCAAAATGAGAGATCTACAGGGGGAAAAAAAATGATTAAATTGGGCAACAGAATGAGGCAAAAGATCAAGCAAGATACAGCCCAGCATTAAAGTAACAGTGTTCCTACTAAATCTTAGAGGCAGCAATATAGATGGGAGGCTGTTGGTGGTGCTTTACCACCACACAGTGGATAGGCAGACTGCAGGGACATCATTACATGAAGAATTCTTGTAGTTTTCTACACCTAATTCAAGACAAAGTAGTTGGTCCTACAAAGAGGCTACAACTAGGAGCAAATTTTGCTCTCTACAGACAGTCACATTTGAAACAGCCTTAACCAATTCTGATCAACCAGATCTAAGCAGCTTTAAACGGCGGGATAACTCTGCTCCAGGAAGAGTCCATCTCAGTAAGAAAACTATCATTCAAACACAGCTTAAATATACAGTAAAAATTATGCCATTGCTSTAATGATTCTGTGCACATCAATTTTGCCAATTTTGAGAAGTATTTTTCTGGAAAATACTTCAAGGACTTCTTATGATGAAAGGAATTCTCCCTACTGAAGGGTGGCAATAGAGAATAGGCAGTTTTAGGTATATTTCATTCCATCTCTTCCTAGAATCTTGGCACTTTCCTCTCAGCTTCTATGCCTTTGCTTTATGGTTGAACTCGGTCAAGCAAAAATTTAAAAATTTTTCTCTTCTATTACAGTGTGCATGTAAATAAAATTTAATGTATATTATCATTCGTGTGGGATCAAAATAGGCAAGAGTTAGGTGAAGCTCTTAAAGTTGTAAATCTCTTAAAAATTAAAATCATATACTTGATAAAATTGGTACAAGAATATATAGTTGATAAAAGGATACAGCTGGCCCTGTATCCTTGTTTTATATAAAGGAACAAGGATGAGAAGCATAGACATAACATTTCAAACAAGTGCATCTCATGAATGYAAGACATGCAGCAGTGCTCACCTACATGTGTTTGGGCTGCAAAATGAAGGACTATATCAATTTTCTCAGTTTCAAAAAGCTGTTTTATAAAGTGAGGTTCACAAATGTCCCCCTGAACAAGGGAAAAAACATAAATAAGATTACTGATAACAATACATAAATAGTAGGCTTTAATCTGCAGCAAATGTCACAAAGTATCATAAAAGCAGCATAGGAAAGTTTTACAATAAAAGCATGTATTCCAAGGCATGCATTATGTACTTGAGCCACAGTCTTAGCCAGCTTTTTCTTTAGTAGCAAGACAAAAGAAAAGTGCCCAACCAAAATGCAAATTTATGCCCTACGAGAGCAAATAAGATATTCATATCCAAACTTTTAAATAAAATGACATGTTTTCTTTTACTTATAGATACACGTATGGGGCAATACATCAATGCCATGTCTAAAACAAGAGCAGATGCAAGTCTCGTGATTGATGCTATTGCTCAAGAAGCGTATTTGCTTCATTTTGGGGTTTGCATTGTTATTTAACACTAGAAACATCATCATTCACAAAACACAGTACTGTGTTGCAAGAGCCTTGGACGCTGAAGTCGCAATGACAATTTCCTACTGCAAATAAAGTCACTGGAGTGTGGCTGGCAGGCAGTGGCACCTAGTGGCACCATCAAGTGGGTTTTTTTTTTTGTTTGCTTGTTTTGTCAAGACTTTTCATATACAGATATATATGATATAGATTCATATGCATAGATATATATGAATATATCATATAGATATATATCTATATATATGAAAAGTCTTGACAAAGAAACAAACATGTATATATCAGCTCTTTTAATATTAAAAAAGCTATTCTTCCATTTAGAACAGAAGCTACAGCAACTTTTGAAGTTCAATAAAAGCTGAGAAGCTATTTACTTGCTTCTCACCTGTGAGCAAATATTCAGCAAATTCTTTAGGCCTATAACTTGCTTTTAAACTGATAGAATAATCATTATTAAAACCACCAGATTTCTGGTAAACTCTCATAGGCTGAGCTTCAGTTATTTAACTGAAATTCAAGTTTGATCATAACTTTATTGAATATCTCTCTTTCTTCAAAGGAATAGGTTGCAATTAAATTGTATAAATCAATACTTTCCATCTAAAAATGTGGTTAGATGCAACTTTGGCATGGACCACACGAATGCTGACCTCTGCATTCAGAGCGAGTGAAATATTTCACTAACAAATTGAGCATACAGAAAGTGCTGACAGGTCCATGTGAGCACGACACACAGTGACAACTGGAATTAATTCCCAAACTGTACCATAAAGGCAGGTGGTGGCTTCCAYTCTGGGGAGCTACAGAGACCACACTGCCCTTACCTTGAGATAGWAGTCTGCCAAAATTTAAGTTCTCTAGAAGAGAAGGCTTCCTCACCTGGATAAATTTGTAATTTTCCTTTTTGGAGATGGTTTCAAGATTCTTCAAGCTTGCACAGTAGTCGAGCTAAAGAGAATTACCCACAAAATACGATTAAACAGTCCCCACAAAATATCATTAAACAGTCTTCATCGAAATGAATAAGCACACTCAGATCCAACTTAATTAAGCTTGTACTTCAAATAACTTCGAAAAATCTTATTTCTAAAGAAAAGCTACTTTGCAAGAAAACACGATGAAACTTTAAAAAAAAAAAAAGCTAATGTCAGACTGCTGACAGCTTCAAGAACTCTTAATAGCTGAACAGAAGCTTAGAACTTCAAAAGCCTCCTTCTATTTTTTCCMACAATAGCATKTAATAGTGTAATACATCATTATAAACATGATCAAGAGCTAAGTCACTGTTTTTGTATAACAAAAAAAAAAATAGTCAAACTAATACAAATATGCATATAAAAAGGGAAAATCACCATGCCATAGTTTGTGGTAAAAAAAATGGCAAGGAAGGTAAAAAGTCACTTACCTTATCTAGATTTACAATCAGATAATTCGGATAGTTTTTTACAAGAGACACAACTACATGTGAGGCACTGCAGGACAGAAGAAAAAMACATTTTAGAACTATATACTGTTTTAAATGATGAGAAATAACTTTAGTAACATCAAATGGGCTTGCTTTGGGAGAGGGCAGGGAAGTTTGCACTCAAAAAGTGAGGAGAAAAAAAGGAATTCACAGAAAAAGAACATGTTGCACTTTAAAATGTGCTAGCATTGATCCTGTCCCTAAATAACATTCCGCTACGGAACCATAATCTGGAGGAAAAAGTTAATGCTCCAGCAGCAGAAAGCAGCACTCACAGGCACATCAAAAGCAAACCTGCTCCGTGCAACATCCCGCTCTCCTTCCAGAGGGCTACGTGGCCTGTTCATCTCCTACAAGGAAAGGAGGCGCCAAATACCCTAACCGGCAAGGGCAGCTCTCCACAACCCGCTCCCACGGCTGCTCCTGCAGGGAAAGGGCGGGATCCCGCGGGGCACGAGGGGC